ATAAACATAGGGGTGCATCTGTCTTTTTCAAACTGGGCTGCTGCATTCTTAGGGTAAATTCCTAGGAGTGGAATTCCTGGGTCAAATGGTATTTCTATTTTTAGTTTTTTGAGGAACCTCCATACTGCTTTCCACAATGGTTGAACTAATTTACATTCCCAACAGCAATGTAGGAGGGTTCCCCTTTCTCCACATCCTCACCAACATTTGTTGTTGTTTGTCTTTTGGATGGTGGCCATCCTTACTGGTGTGAAGTGACATCTCATTGTGGTTTTAATTTGCATTTCTCTAATGATTAGTGATGTGGAGCATCTTTTCATGTGTCTGTTGGTCATCTGAATTTCTTCTTTAGAGAAATGTCTGTTCAGATCCTGTGCCCATTTTTTAATTGGATTGTTTGATTTCTGTTTGTTGAGGTACATGAGCTCTTTATATATTTTGGATATAAACCCTTTATCGGATATGTCATTTATGAATATATTCTCCCATACTGTAGGATGCCTTTTTGTTCTATTGATGGTGTCCTTTGCTGTACAGAGGCTTTTCAGCTTGATATAGTCTCACTTGTTCATTTTTGCTTTTGTTTCCCTTGCCCGGGGAGATATGTTCATGAAGAAGTTGCTTGTGTTTATGTCCAAGAGATTTTTACCTATGTTTTCTTCTAAGAGTTTTATGGTTTCATAACTTACATTCAGGTCTTTTGATCCATTTCAAATTTACTTTCGTGTATGGGGTTAGATAATGATCCAGTTTCATTCTCTTACATGTAGCTGTCCAGTTTTGCCAACACCAGCTGTTGAAGAGGCTGTCATTTCCCTACTATACATCCATGACTCCTTTATCATATATTAATTGACCGTATATGTTTGGGTTAATGTCTGGAGACTCTATTCTGTTCCACTGGTCTGTGGGTCTGTTCTTGTGCCAGTACCAAATTGTCTTGATTACTGTGGCTTTGTAGTAGAGTGTGAAGTTGGGAAGCGAGATCCCCCCTGCTTTATTCTTCCTTCTCAGGATTGCTTTGGGTATTCTGGGTATTTTGTGGTTCCGTATAATTTTAGAACTATTTGTTCCAGTTCACTGAAGAATGCTGTTGGTATTTTGATAGGAATTGCATTGTATCTGTAGTTTGCTTTAGGAAGGATGGCCATTTTGACAATATTAATCCTTCCTAGCCAGGAGCATGGGATGAGTTTCCATTTGTTACTGTATTCTTTAATTTCTCTTAAGAGTGTCTGTAGTTTTCAGAGTACAGGTTTTTCACTTCTTTGGTTAGGTTTATTCCTAGGTATTTTATTCTTTTTGATGTTATTGTGAATGGAATCGTTTTCCTGATTTCTCCTTCTGCTAGTTCATCATTAGTGCATAGGAATGCAACAGACTTCTGTGTATTAATTTTGTATCCTGCAACTTTGCTGAATTCCGATATTAGTTCTAGTAGTTTTGGAGTGGAGTCTTTAGGGTTTTTTTATGTACAATATCATGTCATTTGCAAATAAATAGTGACAGTTTGACTTCTCTACCAATCTGGAGCCTTGTATTTCTTTGTTTTGTCTGATTGCCATGGTAGGACCTCCAGTACTATGTTGAATAACAGTGGGGAGAGTGGGCATCCCTGTCTTGTTCCCTTTCAGCTTCTTGCTGTTAAGTATGATGTTGGCTTTGGGCTTATCATATATGGCCTTTATTATGTTGAGGTACTTGCCCTCTATACCCATTTTGTTGAGAGTTTTTATCATGAATGGATGTTGAATTTTGTCGAATGCTTTTTCAGCATCTATGGAGATGATCACATGGTTTTTGTCCTCCTTTTTGTTGATGTGGTAGATGATGCTGATGGATTTTCAAATGTTGTACCATCCTTGCATCCCTGGGATGA